ATGGGTAGTCGCTGTTCCACCTCCTTACTAGTCTGCTTCTCGAAATTTCAAACTATTTCGCTTGCCAATTTTAAGGGTATAAATTTCTAAGTTTTGACATAAATTAGATTATAGCAGCGGTTGAAGAATTTTGTCGTCAAAAGGCAAAGCGTTCTATTTATTCGATTGGACCGATAGAAGAACGTAGTAGAAAATAAGGAACAGCAGTCCCAATATACAAAAGCATTTATTTGGAACACGACTCAAAGAACAAAATATATGACTAAGATTATCACACTTAATTAAGACATAAATAAAATTAACGCGACTTTTGAGGAATAAATAAATCTGGTAGTACGGTTCTTTTAACTTTTTGTCATATGAAAAAACATATGAAATGAAATGTAATGTATGTGTTAAAACAAAATGAAATGTCATGATAAGCGGTAGAGTAATTTGTTAAATATGAAATGGTAGATTCCCCGTCACCAACAGATAATTACTCAAGTTATAATAAAAAGATATACACCCCAAATCTGTTATTAAATCAATAGTATATAGTAGTAGATTCTATAAGCCGATTACGTAAAAATTCTCTTCCCCCAAGCTAATAACGACAGTCACCAAAGGCATTATAGCTTAAAGGTAAAGTAGGTTTAGGACCCCGACAAGGAGCCGGCATTATTCTTTATTGCAACACTTTACCTCGTTTGCTTAAATAATCAGACATTTTTATTTGAAATAAACGAAAAGCAGAAAATAAATGAAAGAAAAGAAGCCAGGAAATTCTTCATTTTACGTTCTTACGAGTAGTTTCATACATAAAGAAAATCTTACCACTTTCAAGCAATTATAATTGTTATTTATAAAAATAGCCCGTTAATCGAAATATTTTTACAATAATAATAATAATTTATATAATAATGTGGCATCAGCTGATCGCAAGATCCTGCTCTTTTTGTAATTTATCATTTATCACTTAATTTAATGTTTATATTTATGCTGCATAATCAAATGATAAAACTTCCGGTATTCATACTCCCTAGGCGTAGTCCCGAATTCATGGAAGACAGCTTTGGTATATCCAATCCCTAAAAAAGGCGACTGGTCAGACTAGTCCAACTACAGGCCTACCACCATCATCTCCTTGTTCTCGAAAATAATGGAGTCTTTTTTAAACTGCCAGCTTATGAGGTACCTTAAGAATCACCAGCTAATTAGTGATCGCCTAAACAGTTTTCATCGTGGTCGATCAACTGGTGATCCTTTGGTTTACCTGACTCATAGATGGGCAGAGGCAGTAGAGTACAAGAGGGAAGCATTGGCCGTTAGTTTGGACATAGCGAAGACCTTTGATCGGGTCTGGCACAAAGCACTTCTTTCGAAGCTCCGTTCCTATGGGCTTCCCGAGAAATTGTGCAATTGGATCACCAGTTTCCTTGCTGATCGGAGCATCAAGGTCGTAGTAGACGGTGCATGCTCTGATTACAAGCCTATTAATGCTGGTGTTCCACTAGGCTGCGTGCTAGCACCGACACTGTTTCTTCTGCCTATCAATGTTGCAAACTGGTGACATTTATTGCTCTGCAGACGACAGCACTAGTGATGGCTTATACACCGGCCGGGCCCATATTTCTCGGGAAAACTTCGCGGAGTACGGGACAAACTTATGTCTGCAGTCTTGAAACTTGCTGAACATAGTCTCAGATTGGGGCGTCTAAATATTATCCAATTCAATCACCAGAAGACATAATTTTGCGCGTTTAACGCTAAATAGAACCCATTTGTCGTATCTTCTCAGTTTCAAGTCACTCCCCTTGCTACCTCAGCTAGCATTGGAATCCTCGGCGTCGACATATCGAATAGTGTGCAGTTGGTCTCTTGAAGGGTAAGGTCAAATTGGCCTTTAAAAACATTGGCGTGCTCAGCAGAGCGAGACAGTATTTTAATGCCGGCACATCGCTTACAACTTTACAAAGGGCAAGTTCGGCTTCACATGGAATACTATTCTCATCTCTGGACCGGGACACCCCAGTGCCAGCTCATTCCACTGACCGCATCCAGCGCAGAGCGGTTTGAATCGTCGACGACCGAGTTCTTTCTGATTGGTTCGATTCACTGGCGCTGCGTAGTGATGTTGCATTACTTTGCGTTTTCTATCACATCTACTACGGGGAGTGTTCTGAGCAATTGTTCGGATTAGTTCCAGCCGCCAAATTGCACGATCGCACGTTGTGTCAAAATTAACGATACCATTCATACCATCAGGATGCTTGGCGGTCCAACACTGCGCTTTTTAATAGGAGTTTTCTTCCCGGTACAACTTCTCTGTGGAATTGTTTACCACCGGCGATTTTTCCGGATCGATACGACTTAGGGACCTTCAAGAAAAAAGCTTCTTACTCTTTTCTAAAAAGCCGGCAACAGACCTGCAATTCCCATGGTGTTGCGGTTAATCATGGGCGGCGGTAGTCACTTACCGTCGGGTGAGCCACATGCTCGTTTGCATCATCTTCTATTAAAAAATAACTAGAAAAATAATAATAATATATACTTTACCATTGTTTAAACTAAATAATGAGCAAAGGTTAAGCATAGAAAATATTTTAATAAATGGGCACAGAAGGAGAGATTTTGTTCGTTAATGATTTTTTATAATATAAATGACTTTTGGAAGTAGTGATTGATTGCTAGTATCGTTAATAAGGCGTTGATTAGAATAACTACATAATTATACTTATATTTACGCAAACACTATACTTTAAATGAAACATTTCTAACACTTTAAACGAAATTTTACGGATCACGTAAAGGAGATGATCCAAAATTGTATGAAGCGTAGGCCTAGTTTTGTACTAGTAGGAAAATAGATTAAAATAAAATATTAAACCACTTTAGATTATTCAAATTAACGAATTTGCCTTAATTTCAGGGGTATTAATATTTTATTCTCACCAAAAAATGCAACACAGATAGCGGTAAGATGTCGTTTTGACGTTAGCTGTCAACTGTCATAAGATTATTGATCCATTTATTGATGGCTATTTGAATTCTAAAATGCTGTGTTATCCTTACAATTAAACCAAAACCAAATCGCCTAAGAAATCCACCAGAAACACAATAAACACATTCGCGGGTTCACAACTACATAACCGAGCTCGAAATAAATAAAAATAGGAGTATCACGCTACCTATGTAAGTATCTTATTCACCGACGAAAAGTAATACTTTGGTACTTGCTAACATTTCTTGAATTGTTTGCGCAATACGTAAGAACACACCATGATATATCTTTAAATTAAAGGAATTTTTTAAAGTATTTGATTAACCAATACGTGTCAACTCATTAGCGCCTAGCGATTGAATGAATAAAACTAACTCCAGTGTCGCCTCTAGTACGTAGTACATAACAGCACAATGGTACAGACACAAAGTACGAAACCTATCCAACTGCAGAGATGTGTAAGACAAGATGACGTAAATATCCCCGGAACTCCTTACACCACTGCATTGGAGGACGTTCTCAAGCTATTGAACTGGAAAGGACTGGCAACGATATAATCCTTATGGCAGATCCCTAGAGGACTTAGGCACTATGCTCAATAGCCTCTATAATAGTGTCTCTCAACGGATAGGTCCTAAGGTGAACTTGTACAGTAGTTGTTAGGAGCACTAAGCTCGAAGTTGTTGACGAGTACGTTTACCTGAGACAAATAATCCGACTAGTTAAGTCCAACTTATACCGAGAGGTCAACCGACGAATTCAACTGGGCTGGGCAGCGTTCAGGAAATTACGACACATCTTCTCGTTAGGAATACCTCAATGCCAGTGATGATTTATATGGATCTGAGACGTCTTTCTTCACTGCTGGCTGTATGAGGACGCTCAAAGTCGCTCAGTGAGCTATGGAAAGGGCTATGCTCGGAGTTTTTCTGCGTGATAGAAGAATGAGGTCGCAGTAAAACCAGAGTGACCGACATAGCCCAACGGATTAGTAAGCTGAAGTGGCAACGGGCTGGCCATATACCTCGAAGAACCGACAACCGATGGCGAAAAAAGGTTCTCGAGTGGCCTCATACCGGTAGGCGTAGTATAGGGCGACCCCCCACTAGATGGAGTGACCACCTGGTAAGACATGCATGAAGTCGATGGATGCAGGTGGGTCAGGACTGCGCTTTGTGACATTCCTTGGGGGAGGCCTTTGTTCAGCACCGGACTTTTGAAAGGCTGTAATGATGATAATGAACTATAGTGGTAACAAACGTAAATATGTAAAAATTATGCATGAAAAGTACCTACCTAGTCTAAAGTATCACGTAGAGAATAATTTTAATTCTTCATCTCGTAGCTACAATCGTCGTAAACATGAATAGAAGAAGAGGTTGAGCAACGTGATATGTATGTACACAATTTATGCAAATAAACTGAATTTCGTTTAATCGTGGACAATGGGTTCAAATGATATCGGAATTAAAATCATTCGCCTAAACAAAATTAGATATAGATGTTAGTAAAGCGTCAGTTTATAATTGGTATTGAAAAAAATTGAAGTGCGACGAAACCAAACGCAAAGCTTTAAAACGAAGTCTATCACGATCCTCAATTTAATAATCCAGCAAGCAATCGTAATGCTGGTCTGGATTTGTTGTTGATGCATGTTGTTTTATGAAAGTGCTCGGAAGTTGAACAAGTTCATTTTATTGTATGTTTGAGTAATACAAATGTAGCTTCCTATTGTAGAAGGTAAATTTGCATTTGAGACAGGGAGATGGTGAGAGAGGATTCTCTTCAAACAATGTAATGAATGTACTCTGCAATATTAATTCATATAAATCTTATAGCGAAGCAAAAGTATATGGTATTTATCAAAGTTGCTTCTGATTATTCTACTTTGAGCCCTTTATAAAGTGCTACAGTCACAGGATGAATTTCACGTAAAACCTTTAGTACACTGCATTCGTTTATTGGTGCACAGCTGCAATAAAAACACGACAAAAGGAAAGAGTCTCTCGTGCAAAATTCAGTTTGCGGCGAAACTTTCTGCACCGTCAATACTTACAAGAGGTTTTGAATTTAAAAAATTCAATAAATATTTAGACGAAGAAATATCAACAGTATTACGGAAAGAGCAATCACTGTAATATTGGAATTTTATTCCATAGCAAAATCAAGAAATCTAAACGAAATCATTGGGAGCTATTCCATTGCTAGGGATAGGGCACTATATTACGCCCTATATATCTTCTTAATATACCTATATAAATTACGTGTCACGTTGTTAGTCCGCGATGGACTCCTAAACTACTTAACCGATTTTAATCAAATTTGCACACCGTGTGCAGTTTAGTCCAACTTGAGAGATAGGATAGTTTTTTTGCCCGTAAAAGACCCACAATTTTTTGCGAATTTGAGGATTTTTAATAGGACATGACAAATTGTCGTCGAAATGGGCGGAAAAACTGCGTGAAAAACTAATATATATATGAGTGTATAAGTTACTCTGCGATGCGTCCAGCCCGTGTCACGAAAAGGTGCTCATTATTTGTATTATGTTTTAAAGAAAGAAACAATCGAAGATGACATTGCCTTGACTCACAGGGATGGCGACATGTTTGACTAGTAGATGGATGTATATTTTCACTTTACATATATTGATCTTCAACCATCTGTATCGCATGGGTCTCGGTTTCTTCAAAGAAGTCACAGAAACGTAGCCAGCGAAGGAATATGAATGTATACAAAAGACCCGAGTGAGGCCTAAAGATCCGCCATCCGCCCTTTTTCACTCCACATGGCCTCCCTTTCCGTACTGCAGTAAACTGCCATTGCTCGTCGGGTAAGGATAGGGTTTAGCCCTTTATTAATTATAAATGACTTTCGTGTTGAATGGGTCTGCCTATTTCGCCAGGAAGCAATTACGGAGACTGCATATTTCCCTATTGTGCATGGTCGGAGCGCTTTCCTACTTTCACTGTCATTGTTCACTGTAATAATGAATCCCAGAGACGGTCCCTAAAATTTTTTTCACACAATTGTTTACACTTCACAAATATAATCGTGAAATTAACAGTTACTAAATATATTGGTAGAAAATAAAATGCCGAAATAAAATAATCTGTGGGTACATAGAGTATATAATAGTCTGTTTAAAATGTCGACATAAATGCATTTTTTGTGGTTATTAGCATACCGTTAAGACATGAATAACAATATTTAAAATTGTTCGTTGTCCGTTCTAATTCTTCTTCAGGATGGTTGAACCGACAGTAAAACATTTATTTTTTTAAGTATTTTATTTTAAAACATGAGAAATCGCAAAATCGACGAAATAAATGGTCTTTGACGATTTTCTTAAATCTATATAATGTCGTATTAATAGATTACATACATCGTGATATAGAGTATATTTATGAGAAATACTAAAATAGTTTCATATAATAAGAATATTAAAATCACAACGTGAAAACGACACAGTACGTATTGAATATCCTCATTGTTGACAACCAAGTGACAGCAGCACGGAAATACTATTACGCGTACAGCAACGTTGAGGGGAATGATATATGTACAGAGGGTGTTTGTTTTACGTCAGTAATAGTAAGTATTTTTCATGCCATTGTGTTTTGTATGGTGAGTGTAGAGAACCTTTCTACTGAAAACAAAATAATTCATCTTAGTCGGGTATAGGCGTAGATGTCCATTGGTCACAGCAACTACTTACTTAAAAGTGGGCTGTGTGCTTTTTTGTCATCATTACTAATTACTAATATAAAATAAATATGAAAACCGGATCATAACTGACTTACCAAATGTTTTTTGATTATTATACGAATCAGGAATTAGTTTGTTATACTCTGTGGGGTGCGTTTATTGGTGGTACGTTTCTATATCTACACATTCCAATTAATTATTATATGTCGGTCTTGGAAATTAGCTCTAAATTTCCTTAAAAGTTACACGTGAGCGATTTGATAAGAATATAATCTTTTCTTTAGTAACATTACATCAATTCATTTGAATCTATAGGTAAAACTAGTTTAACTTTTTTTTAAGAATAAGGGTGACAAATGAGTACACAGTTCACCTGATGGTAAGTTGATGCTGTGTCTCATAGCCATCTACATTTATCCTCGATTAAGAATTAAATAGCAGATGCGCTGTCACACCCGAGGACTAAGATAGAATGCCTCGTTTCCAGTAAATAAAGTTCTCCGGATTTCTATTCTCACTATACGAAACACAACAGTATTAAGCTGCTATTTTACGCTGGTATTCTGTGAGAATGTGGCCATTCCCCGTTCTAGCCGACCCATTAGTGCTACAATGATAATATAGCTGCAACGAGGGTCTACCACGTATATAACATAGTCAAAATTATTTCAATCAATTAAATTGCACACGTAGTAGTTCCACAAAAGCAAACAAAGAAATGATGAAATGATAATGTTACTTACATGTAAGTTGTCAAATCGATGTGACGCGCAGAGGGCGCGTAGCGGCTGCGGACAGGCGCGCAAACAGAGCTTCCAACATCCAACGCTGGAATCATTGGCACCATCTGCAGCTCCGCCAGCGCAAGTGCCATCCGCGCGTATTTCTGTCAAGACATTAACAGTTTAATTCTGAGAAGACAAAGTTATAAAAGGACTTGACAAACCAGGCTCGATAGTCGTTACTTTGGCTCAAGGTTTATTGAATGAAGGTCGACTATTAGTTACTGATAATTACTATTCAAGCCTTCCAATGGATAGATACTTGAAAGAACACAAGACGGATTTTTGCGGGACATCCGCAAAAATAGGAGAGATCTTCCACAGGAAGTGGTCAGCGCTTCCCTCAAAAAAGGAGAAATTGCTACTAAGCAGAACAGTTTCGCAACGGTGTTGAAGTGGAAGGACCAGAGAGATTTGTTGGTTATATCAATATGCCACGATCATCAAATAGGGATGTCTACCGGTCACAAACCAACACTAAAACCAAAAATTGTGCTTGAATATAACCGTGGCAAGAAGGGTATTGATTTAGCAGACCAGCTTTCGAGTTATAATTCTCCTGTCCGCAAGATATGCTTCTGGTATAAAAAATAGCCGGCGATCTGATATCAATATCTGTTATAAATGCAATTTTGGTATATAAAGATTTAAAGTCAACAGAAAGTAAAAAAAGACCTGAATGATGAATTAATGAATGAATGGCCATGAAATAATCATAAAGTTTTTACTGAATATCAAAGACGCTGCGCCTTCTAGAATGCTTGAAATCGGGTGTGCTGCTTCTGAGACTTTTGAGTTCCGTCATTCTTTAACAAAAATCTGCGTCCTGTATCGAAAAAAATATTCAAAAGCGTTGTACAGGCTGTTACAGAAGTTTAGTGGAAGAAGGCAATACTGCCCCTCAAGCCCGAAGAAAAAAACGGATTTCGAATGCAAAAAATGTAAAAAAGCTTTTTGTCTGGCTTGTTATAATAAATGCCATTAATATTTAGTCCTGATAAATAAAATATTTTTTGTTAATCAATAAATAAATAATTGTCAAATTGTCACTTTTTGTGTTTCATTTTGAATAACATATTCTGGCAACACCGATATAAAATGTCACTGGGAATCTATGGTAAATAATACTTATATTTATCGTTCACACGTGTATGCCAGTAAAAAAAAACAAAATCCATACGTGCGCAGTAATACACGCCATAGAATTTATTTGAACTCGTACCCCACATATATGTGCCACACACGTAGGAACTTACCCATGTGGTGACCCATATGTGGGGCACATACAGTGAACGTGTTAATTTAAGAAAATCACATCTTACATCATAGCGTTGAATTTTCCTGATTAATGTTTCATCGTGAACACAATCGAAGGCCTTGGATAGGTCACAGAATACACTCAAAGCATCCTGGGAATTCTCTCATGCGTTGAAGATATATTTAATCAGCTCAACATCAGCATTAGTTGTCAAGAGATCTCTTGTAAAACCGAATTGATTTTTAAGCATTAAATTATTTACTTTACAAAAATTACGTCTAACAACAACAAAAAAATTACATTTAATATCATCATTCTAAACCAACTAGAACAGGTCTTTCAAAAATTTTCCGGTCCAGTAGTACAATGTACTACCAGATCTAAAGGTCTACCAAATATAAAGGTATTACTTTACTATGCTTCAAATCAGGAAACATACCAGATTCGATACTAGTATTAATAATAATATAATAATGATACTAGTAAAATAATATAATAAAGATTACTAGATAATGATACTAGTATTAAAGATAGTTGAGTTGCGATTGTATCTATTATAGACGCAATAACTTTAACGGAAATCTCCCACAGATCTGCGGTTTTCTTAATATAAGTTATAATTATAAGTTAATAGTTTTAATATTTTACAATATTTTTTGAATTCACACATTAACATTTTGTTTAAGTAATGATTCGGCTAGAATTCAGTGACTTAGTGATTAAGATATCAATAAAATTCTCAAAAACCATTGCAACGTTCTAATCTCATTTAGTTAATTTGTTGTTAAAACTTAACTGGTAGTTTGAATTGAGAGAGTTGACTTTACCAGTTTAACTGTTAATTATACTCAATGTCATTTTAATTTTATTATAAGTCATCTTTATTTTGTTGCTCAAATACAAAGACTAGACTTTGGATCACACTCTTTTGAATATTATTGATTTTTTTTAATTTTCCTAACTTAAAATAATTTTATTTAGAAACTTTAATTTCTATATCTTCTTTAGTTAAAATCATTAGTAACAAAAAAAATGATATGATTTACATACTTCTTTTGTTACTTTTATAACTGATGAAATATTAAACCACAAGATGAGATATTTGAAGGCGTAGGAGTAAAGTGGGCATTTATTCATCATTATATTGGCGTAAAAATCATTGTATTTTCATACAAACAAACTCATTTGACAACTATCATGTGAATTTATATTTTTTTGAATGATAACTTAAATAGAAAATCTGAAAACCACACGAAACAAAGTAAACTGATGATCTTCAAACAGCTTAAACAATTTTGATAAAACATGTCTAAGAATCACAACTAGAAAACCTGCTATTAAATAAAAAAAAACCGCACGAAAGTCGGTTCACCCGTTTAAGAGATAAAGTGTCACAGACAGATACATAAACGGTAAAGTTATTAACACCCCACTTTTTCGTCGGGATTTGAAAATAGTTGCGTGCTGAAAACATCAGCAATTCGTTTTTGTAGCCAATAATACTTTGTATATTAAAGGTAAATACATATTAAAAATTTAATAAACTACTTTTAACCTCTTATTATAAAATATATATCAAAAATTATTGTCACCGTATGTCGAAAATAAATCCAAAGAAAAGTCCATCTTAATTTTAATCTAATTTATAAAATTACAAGTTATAACGACACATCATCATCTAGAAAATAAATTTTTTTCATGACAAATTTATAACTTTTTTGAAAAAGTTATAAATACTTAGAATAAAATAAAATAAATACACAATTGTTATGTAAATTGTTTGTTACTTTTGTATTGTTTGTTACGTAATAAAAAGGCATGCAACGTCAACAACGTGTTCAATACATGCGAGTAGCATAGAATTTTTACACAATACCGCTCATCCAAGCATTTGAATGGCGAGTCTGCTCGGCTCGGAAATTCGTTTATCGATAGGCAGAATTGTAGCGGGCATAAGTGTGCCTTTTTCTTTTTAAAAATCAATTTGTAACATATAAGCTAACCATTAAAAGCAAAAACTATCTAACTACCCACCTATCCCAAAATCAAATGTGCGCGAGAAATTTTTATGTTGATAGTTGATTGTCATTAAGACAACACTTTTAATGTAAAGATGAGGTGGATGCTGTGTGCCATAGACATCTACATAAATCCTCAATTAAGAACCAAAATGCTGATGCGTTGTTACCCCTGAGGACTAAGATGTAATAACACGTTTCCATTAAAAAAGGACTCCGGTTCTCTGCACTCACTATAGGAAACCCAGCAACATTGAGCTGCTATTTTACGCTGATATACTGTACGAGCGTTTTTCTTCTCCGGTCAAGCCGTCCTATATGCAATACAATCATTATATAGTAAAAGCATGGCTCTACCACGTAAAAAAAATTGCGGTTGTCTTTGCTTCGTTTTTTCGCCGGTCATAAGAATTTTTTTTATGAAACAGTAGATGAATTAATTATTTTTCGTCTTCTTCTTCTTAAATTATTTATTTTTCTTCTCAACTTGGCGGTAAGGCGGTAAGGCCATTCATAATATAGTACCACCATTCATACTTCAGACTACCGATAGATGACGTTTTTATTTTTATTATAAGTTTTTTGAAATCATTTTTATTTTTATTATAAGTTTTATTAAGTGTTACGTTTTATCCAAATAAAATCACTAATTACTCTAGAGTTAAAGCAATTTTGTTTGTACTAAATCTTAATTCAGGAATAACTGTCTGTCCAAGAGTAAATCGGTTGTTCCGCCTAAGGAAGTAAAACAGTTTTATCCGAGATTATATTAATGTCGGCCACTACATTTTAGCAACCGATTTCGTATTCTTTGTAAAGATTACGATATTTTAAAGCTGTGCGTCCATAACTGCTTGTATTTTTCTAATTAATCTTGTATGAATCTAAATATTCCTAAATAGAAGACTGCCTTACATCAGCTCTTATATTGAATACAGAAAATTAGGTCTAGAAGGAAGCAAACGCAGATATATGCAACTGTCTGTGGATTAAGTAAATTATTACAAGATATGTTAGACGACGAAGATAGACATGATGATACCATAATTGAAAACTTTTAAATTATATCTTTTATGTGATGTTCATCATATGGAATCTCAAACAAGACGATCAGAGATACTAACTGGCATGAACACAAATAACAAAGACTCACTGGAAAAAAATTATGTAAATCAGCATCTGTTTGGTAAAATTTTGATAGATAATTACGTGAAGCCAAAAAATTGGAAAAACTAAAAAACCTTACTAAGGAGCGACCTATAACCAATTGTGGCCCGTCTTGTGTGAAGAAACAGGGCGGGCAGGTCAACTACAAACGTTTGTACCAGCAGCTTCACGCAACTTACATTCATCCGAAAATACCAACAGGGTCAACAGTTTCGGTAAATGATAAAATCCAAGGAAAAGGAGTCATCACAGCATGCTCCATCAAACCATCGTCGTCGATACTAGAGTACCTGCTGGTAGAATAACTAATTAGTTTTTCTACTCATAATTTTCAAATACTACTATGGGTACAGAAAGAATATTTAATCCCTCTAATTTGAAAAGTTTACTTCTCGAATACCGAGTTGTCTATCATCTATCCTGTATAATTGACTTATTAGAAAATGATGCAGTACCTGAATGAACACCTTATAAATATCAATATTTATTTAAGATATTTACTGTCCCCACACACAATGAAATCTTTGTTTTCATTCTGAATTTAAAGAAATTCTATAATTTTGTTCAGAACATTCACTTCAAAATGGAAGACATTGGAACTGCAATTACATTAATTAAAACTAACTATTATATGGGTTCAATTGATTTT